AGGCTGTCATGCGAGATAAGAAGGCCGGGCAAATCAAAATGACAAGTTGCAAGTGCCTGCACCTTCGTGTTGGCACGGTGTCCTGCCCGCTGAGGTTGAATACGCTGTGATTCCTACAGAGTTGGACGAAACGGCGGATGTGCATGGTGATGATCTGAGCGACACGGCTCAGCAGTGCAGATTTCGCCCGCGCCTGAGTATGATTAATTACTGTTATCATTATCAGCACTTTGAGTCCTGCGACTACAGCTACCACTGCTGCTGCTGCTACTGCTGCTGCTGCTGCTACTGCTGCTGCTGCTACTACTACTACTACTACTACTACTACTACTGCCGACTAGTTTACCTTTTGGAGACCAAGACAGCAAGATTGCTGGCGATCTTGCTGTCCCCTTTGTCCTCCCTTTGCAATCTTTTGAAAAGGTAAACTAGTCGGCGAGACAATGACAATCTTGCTCAAATAATTGTGCTAAATTCCCGGCACACTGTGTCAGTAGCCCTGGGATGCATGGAGCTCGTCGAGACACCCCGCAACTGTCCTGGACGGCAAGGAATGTTGCAGAGATTTTGCACTCTATACTGTGCATGCGTCATGTTGCAGACACGACGGCTGTGGGCTGTGGATGTGCCGTCTCTGTGATACTTAGTTTCGTCTGAACAGAACTATAGTTACAACGGCATGTTTGTTTTCCCAGCTCGAGTCTGGTCGAAGCCATAAACAAGCGTATGCCACGACGATTTCAGGGAAACGTAACTGTCTCCTGCAACAAACCACAGCGTTCCTTTCCGAACCTTTTGACGCTTGGTCACCGCCACCGCTGCCCCGGCTCGAAGAGCGTGACCAAAACAGAAACCCACAAATGCTTCTGTACTGCAAATTGTTGCCTATCGCACGATTTGCAAGCAATGGGGTGAAGACCGTGCCCGAAGCATTTCTACAAGCCTGTCGAAAGCAGGCCTCGAGCTCGTTCAACGGTGTTTCCTGGCATTCTACCAAAAAAAATTCACAGCCGCGGTCTCTTGCCAAGGGAGGCTGCATCATGTGGGCTCCTTCCACTGCGAGGTCGAGGCCGCAAAAGCCTACGATGATTTCCTGAGGCAGTTGTGTCCAGCGGGAGCTCGCCTCAAGAAGTCGCTGAACTTTCCGTAGCCAACTTCGAGGAGCCATTGCAGGATGTGCGTGCCCGTGCTCTCGCAGGTGCTGCGACTCTTGTGAAAGAGGAACAGTCTTTCGCTCGTCTTCTCACTCTCTTCTCGGTCACACCTCAAGCTTTGACACACGAAATAATCCGCGTCTCTGGCTCCTCCAAAGTCGATGCGCTCTTCAGTTTCAAGGGGCGTGATAGAGGGCTTCCCCTCCAGGTCAAGGCTGCCAGCATGTCGGGCAATTCGGGGAGGCGGTATAAATTTGCGAATACTAGGGACTATGACGGAATGCTTCTTCTCCTAATTGCCCTGGACCGTGACATCATGTGGGCTACTCCAGGGTCCACAGTCGCCACGACAAGCTTCACTATTCGGCTTGACTCAGAAAGGGACAAGGCATATCGTGTGAGCGACCTCGGTTCAACACTGGATCAGCATTTCCAGCATAATGCCACGATGTCCCATGTCTCTCTGAAGGATGCTCGGCTATGGTGTGCTGACAGACACCAGGTGGAAGAACATGCACATCTACAGATGGCAGATCTTTTTGCTAGTGTCGGCTTTCAACTGGAGAAGGCCCACAGTGTGACAGAAGTTGACTCTATGCTTGTTGGGAAAGGCTGCCGGTGGCGCATTCAAGAGAAGTCATCGTCCCTGCACAAGGCTGCCGGCGGCCGTTACCTTGTAAACCTTCGAAAGGGAAAATTTTCGCGGCAAGCATATTCCGACTCCGACTTCGATCTTTTGCTTGCTGCAGTCTTAGAGTGCCACAAATTGACTGGCTTGTTCCTCATTCCGACTCACGTTCTGTGCAAGCATGGTTTGATTGGTGGCAAGCCGACAGGCCTAAGCCTTTGGCCGCCCTGGAAGTTGCCTGTGTTCGAAACATGCAGAGTCAAGCACGCATGGCAGCTGGAGCACTTCGTGGACTTGCGGGGCTGGAGTGAATCAGAAGTGCTCCCAGAGAAAACGATTTATCGATTAGTCCACCTACTGCGGCGACTTGTCCAAATCGGGATAAAAGCTCTCCTTGCATGTGGCTTGGCAGCTTCCGCTTGCGACATGGCATTACAGGATGAAGTCCAAGAGTTCCAGCCTTGAATGTCTAAGCAAGAGCACAGGCTGCCTACGATGCCTTTCTTCCTCATGCCTGGCAGGTCTACACCGCATGCATAGATGCCGGCTATGTCCCGACCCCAGAATTGACTTGGCTAGAGAGGAGAGAACCTGAATGATTTTCAAGTCCGCAGGTGGGGAGATGCTGATTGTGTGCAGAGGAATAAGACTGGCGCATGCTTGTCAAAGGCTGCCGCTTGGTCACGTTGCCACTGTCCTTGAATTGCCCCTGTGTAGTTTGGGTTCAAGCCGACAGCCGGCCGAAAAGCAACACGTGTAGATCCTCGCCGGCTTCAAGAACAAGGCCCTGCGGCATGTCTCGTGTGGTCGACACAAAAAGCCTCCGCATGCCAGAGCAGGGAGTAAGGAGCATACTTCTCAATTTTTTCTGACAATCAATGTGATCTGTGCATGCTTTCATGTGAGGTTCATCGAGAGCCTGTGCTGCAGCAAGCATAAAGCTTGTGTAAGCGCTGTTGTCAGACTTGCCAGGTCATCATGTCGTCCGCTGGTGGACAGAGGCCTCCTGCCAACCGAATGACGCTGCAGCCGCTCGGCCAGCACTGGCAGAGCAGTGCCTTTCGAGATGCCAGTCTTGCAGTCTATATTACGATTATATGAGGCAGCTTTGTGCAAACTTTGCCTCCCAGGGTCCCAGAAGTGGTTCACAAATCTCAGTGTGTCTTTGGTTCTGGAGGAACCCAGACTCGGATTGTTTGCCAGCCTAGGACCTTCAAGGCACGCTTGGGCGGAGCCTCAAAAGGCGGGATCGTGAACAACTACGAGTCTGCGGATTCGCACTTTCGAATTTGGCTGTTTGGGACCAGAGTGAGTGAGGCATACATAGACACTTCGCAGTTTGTCAAGTACAAGCAGAAGACAAAATCCAGCTTCATGTCAACAAAAAGAACCCAGAAGTAGCGCACGGCGTTCGAGAATAGGATGCTTTCAAGCTTCAAAAAATTTGAAAGTTTCGAGTAGCCTTACCGCAGGCTTCAAGCTGCTGAAGAAGAAGCGCGATGCCCTCAAGGCTAAGTTTCAGGCCCCTCGGATCTGCACCGGTACGCATCGGACTTCCGAGGGTAAGGGCTGTCGGGAGTGGACGAAAAGGTGTTAGTATAGAAAGTTTAGAATTGTCTAGGCTTAATTCGGGTCGTTCTCCAATGAATCCTGCAATCTAAATCCGCTCTGTGGATTGCAGTAAGGGAACCTTAGTGTTGTGTCTGGTCGCGCACGGCACGCTTGGGCTTCCAGCTTCTGCTCTCATGTCTTAGTTGCGAACCCTCGAGCTTTGACTGTCTTCTACTAGTCTACGGCTTGTGGCGTATGGCTGTGTCAGTGCCCGAGGCGCTGCTGAAAGATGCTTGGCTGCAATGCCTCATGAACTAGGCTTTGCAGAGTAGCAACGTCCAGGTCCAGGAAGGTCGGTCGAAAATCCTTCTTCTTCTGCTTCTACGCTAGGCCAGGGTCTGCTTGCCATGTCAACATCACTGCTGTACCATGGCGGCCCCCTACCATGCATTTCCAACCCTATGGGTTGACTTACATGAGCCTTTGAGGAGATCGTAGACACGAAGCTAGCGGTCGGCCAAAGCCTCAAGGACCTGCCTGAGGGTTGAGCGAAGGGAGCCTAAATATTCTTATACTATGACTACAATATGCCCCAAAGCCCTGTTCTAATCATCAAGGCCCCTACAGTGCCCGATATCGAATGAGAGAAGCATACCGAATTGAGTACTACTTTGAACAATTAAAATACACGATAGTCCAATATAGGTTTATACGATGAATCTATTTTTTCTATTTTGCCTCTGTATGTATATACATATATTTTGACCGAGGCGTAACGCCAAGCCAAGTCCTAGGGCTGCACCCCACAGGATGGCGCTTTCGCTCTCGCCAAGGTGGGTGGTAGGAGGTTGTGTGCACGTATGCCCTCACGAGGGTTTATACTACTACCCCCACCACCCCCCAAAACATCACGAGGGTTTAGGGCTGCTTAGGGTTTAGGGTTCAGATTCAAGACTTGTTGAAAATTGGACGTACGTCAGAAGCCTTCGGATGAAGTGCAGGGGTCTCGAGTGCAGGATGTTTTGGGGTTTCGCTGTAGCGAGCAGTCGTGAAGTAGGCAGAGCATGCCTGGTCGTGATGCTTGAGCAGAGGGCCTCGCGTTCACTCCTTAGTGGAGTGAAGTTCGGCGTCCAGGAAAGCAGCCTCCCCCATACCCTCCAGGTCCCCCTTCATGTCTCCTATTAAAGTGGGTCTCTAGGTTCTGGATCGGAGGGTAAATAGTTCGGCAGCTTACGAGGATGAACACAAGTCTCCTGCAAGGCGCACTACGCCAGCTCTGGAGATGACATCGCCTCCACAGTCATCGAGAGGGCCGGGAGAATCTCATGCTGGTTCCACCCCAAACCTCGAAGCTTAGGGTCTATAGTGTCCGGGGTTATAGTTTGATTTAGGGTTTCGTGTCCGGCTCTAGCTCTAACACTGTGTGCAGCCAGCTTCATGAGCGCAGTGTTAAGGCAGATTTGTTTTCGCGAACGCCGGCATGTCCTTGCAGGCAAAGAAGCCGACCTTGACGACAAAGCTGTACCCAGACAACGTCGCCGGCGCAAGAGCCTTAATGTTTGACATATTGTGACATGAAAACCTGGATGGAGATCCAGCAGTGTAGAGAAAATCGCAATACACAGGGTCGTGTGACCATGCGCTAGGTCTCGATCCCCGTGTTCAAGATGAACTACGATTCCTCGCAGGACAGCTCCGCACCATGGCTTTTAGTCAAGAGTGGACGTCTTACAAAAGATGAACTGTTTGATGTAGTTGTTTCCATTTATGCGATTGAACGAGGCCCAGACCATGGGGGTTGGATCCGGCGGCGCAGTCCTGAATGCGACGCGCGAAACCTATGTGAAAGCCATGCCACTTACCTTTGCTGAAAGGGTTGTTTTCGTTTGTTGTCCTGATCTCTCCCTGAGAAGGTTGTCAGTACCTATCTCCAAGATGCACTGATAGCACATGCTCTTGCCCAGAACGCCCCAGAACGTCCCTTGCAAGGGAGTGCATCGTGAAGCTCGCGTCATTGCAGACGGCCTTCCACACGCTGGATGAGGAAATCAAGATGACTAGCCGACGAGTGGCCTGGACAGTAATGCTGGCTGTACGTTTGTATTTGAAAAGTGCGTACTGGCACATGCAGATGCCGCACAGCGTAGCTGCTCGTCCAGAGATGATTAGGCGTGGCATTTAAAGGATCTACTATACTACACTATGCTGTACTATACTTTACCATGCTATACTTATCACACCCCTTGAGCGGACGTGCAAGGTAAATGCCTTGGAGTACGTTCTGATTCCCCGGATCGAGGACTGCGCCCAACTTAGCCAAAAGGTATATACAACATAAACTTGTAATAATATGTAACGTATGCTATGTAGTGTATAATATTGGTAGTGTTTGTTCGTTTGTTGGTGCTTCTGCAGTTTTGGCACAGGAGCTGATTCATTACATTACACAAGAGATGGACGAAGAGGCCTGGAGATCGTTGTTCGAACTGGAGGGTAGCAAAAGCAGCGAGACATGTGGCTTCAGGCTCGTGAAGAGTTCTTCAGAGTGAAGAAGGTCGTCGAGAAGAAGAAGGTCAAGATGGCGCAGCGCCTACAGATGAGCGCGGGTTGATGTTGAGAGCTGTTGTCGTGAAGTTGCCAGCAAGTAATTCTCACTACCCCTTCGTTGCTCTGCCGCTGCCGAGGCCAGAGAGAAGGAGTTGGCACTGAAGCAGGGCAAGGAACAAGTCGCCACTTGCCAGAAGTGCATGCGAGGTTCCATGTTTCGGCGTTCAAGCAACATCATACATCCATGAAACCGAAAGTGGTCAAGTCAGGCTATGCTTATAAGAAGGCTTTCATAATATGTGCCCTCAGGCAGCAATCGATGCAGCTTGGCTTGCAATCAGACCCCTTGCTGCAGCTGCTGGTTCGACTGAGACAGCACTCAGTCGCATCATTTATGCCATTTCCGGGTATGCCAGGCAATTCCACGGGAATGATCTGTAGCATCACTGTGGCATGTCTGTGGACTCTTTGGTCAGACCTCCGTGCACTTGATCATCTTGACTCTAGCCCTGGTCAGATGTTCGAGTCCTCTCCCTTACATAGGGCCTTGTTTTTGGGTCGCATGATGTTGTGTTCCCTAAACGCTGATCTGAGGAATCCGTTTCATTCTCTGTGAGCCTGTGCCCACAACGCCGAAAATCTATACCTGTACCGTGAATCCAAAAAGGGCCCGGGCAAAGCGCAGGCACCTAGCATCCTGCAGACCAAGAAGGATGACGATCTCGTGTTCTGATCGAGGGCTTCGCCCTGCGACAGACAACGCAAAGGTCTTGGTTTCCTGTTTTGTTGCTTGCCGAACTCCACGCTGCCCTCGGAAATCTCCATGTAGTGAGTGCTAGGTCTGCTGGGTGTCTTGGCGTTGTGCTACCCAAAAGTACAGGCATATATGGATATATATATATATATGCGCACACACATGTACTTATGTATGTCCGTAAGTATGTTTGTAAGTAAGCAGTCAAATCCACAAACCTCGCTTGACCTAGGCGAGGAAATATGTATGCATACAGACATGTTATGAGCATTTACAATTCAAAATGGTGCGACAATTACGGTATTGGACCATCATCAAGGAAATCCTCTGCTGCACTCAGAGTATAATTACACGGTTTCCCACCTTCCTGGGATAATTGTCTGGCTTGATTAGGGTAATGTTCTATCGGACAAATGCGGAGAGAAAGCTGGCCATATGGTTTTGAACTCCCAAAATAGGGAGCCCCGACGCGGAGTTTGGCAACGGGTAGCGCAGTGAGGAATGTCAAAGGCTCACTGGTTGCAGTTTTGGGACCGTCGGGAACGGCACAGAGCGCCCTGCAACAGCTCAGCGAGCCCAGAAGCTCATGAAGATGTTGCATATGCTCAGGGTTTTAGTGCTCGACACAAGTCCTATAACTTAAGCAAAGCACGCGTATGTATGTGTGAGTGTATATACTTATATGCACACACAATGTACAGGTCGACATTGAGCTCAGGGCTTCCGGCATCAATTGCAGTGGCATGCTGTGTGAGCCTAGAGGGCGTAGCTGCTGCGTCACACCGCTTCTCACTGTATTTGCGGCTGCTGAGGTACACGAGGACACATCTCCCTCAGGGAGCATTCCGAGAGTCGCAAACAGCCTTTGAAAAAGCAGCCGACAGGCCCTGGTATTCGTCTACGCTATCTATCTATCTATCTATCTATCTATCTATCTATCTATATATATACATACATACATACATACATACTACGATACTATGTACCAGAGAGTGCTTCAGCAGATGCTATGACAGAAAAGGCCTCCCATCGATGACCGAGTTTCTTAGGGCGGCCATTTCTGACTCCACTCCACGGGAGCACTCGAGCCCTGTCCACCAAAAAGTATGCAGCTTTCCCTGCCAGCGGCTCATTGCTCTCGGCCTTTTCGGCTTTGGGGTTCAGGGCTCAGGGTCTTTAAGACTTTAGCTCCCCATGTACTCTAGAGCTTTTAAGCTTCGGGGTCTAGAGCTCTGGGTTTTTAGGGCTCAGTGGATTTAGGGTTTAGGGTTCTGATGCATGTGGGACCACATGCGTCCTGCAGCCAGGCTTGACGTTTGGAATGACTGCCTTTGACAGAGAGAGAGGGAGAGAGAGACCGAGAGAGAGAGAGAGAGAGAGACAGCGAGGAGAGAGAGAGAGAGAGAGACAGAGAGAGAGAGACAGAGAGAGAGAGACAGAGCGAGGGAGGGAGGGTTCATGGCCCCTTATGCCTGGGAGAAGAAGAAGAGGGAGGGAGGGTTCATGCATGAGAGGATGCCGGGCTTCTGATTCACACGATTTCGACATGGAAAGTTTGCTAGCACGCTCTTCATTTGACGAGCGCTTAGGGTTGAAGGTCTCGGGCTTCGGGGCTCTGCGTTTAGGGCTCAGGGTTTAAGACCAGGGTTTTGGGGTGCAGGGTTTGGGTTTGGGGTTTAGGATTTCAGGTTTAAGGTTTAGTAAAAGTAAAATGGTTTCACTGATATCTGGGAATCTTGGGTGGGTGGGATGATTTCCGGAGTTGAGCTCGACTAGAAACTGCTTGATCCGGAGCTGCTAAACCCTAGACCCTAAACCCTGAACCCTAAGCCCTAAATGCGGAGCCTTGCCGGCCTAGTGCGAGTGTGAGAGTCGAAACCCTGAACCCCGAAACCCGTCAGCCCAGGGAATGCCAAACCTGGTCCCCACCGATGCCTTGGCAGACGTGGCGGCCCCAGGTGGCTTTTGACACTTCTTGCGGCTTCGCGGAATCTCGCAACATAGCCGTCGGAGTATTTAATAGTTATATCCTCATAAAATAGTTAAATAATCCTAGAAAATCCGACTATAAGATAAGACGACCTCAAGACAGGATTCTAATTATTAAGGTCCGCAAATACCTCCTCGTAGCACCAATCCCTAAACGTCTTAGCTCCTGCACCCCCGCCCCATGTAAACCCTGTAACCTGAACTGCAAATACCTAAGTGGACTTTAAGTGGACCGCCGTCGAACCGAACAGAAGCCTTAAGCCCCTAAACCCTGAAACAACCCACATACACCCTTACAAGCACCCTTCTACCACTTCCAAATCCTGCGAAAACTTACTGGTGCAAGAGCAGTTTTTCTAGTTTTCATTCTGAGGTCCTGGAGGAGCTGTCCTTGCGAAGGCCAGCAGAGCGGGAAGACCCCGGCGACCTACTCGAGGCCAGCGAGGCTTTGTGCTTTGGGGTTCAAGGTCCCCAAGGGCTCCAAGCTGACTTCTGGACCCGCCGTTCCTGCTGTGGCTTGCGACGAAGGAGCCAGAAACCGGACAGGCTCATGAGCCCGTGAACCCTTAAGAGAACTCTGAGAACGATCAGAACTTGCAGAACCCATCCTGCAGTTTCACTAGTCCCCACTATGCACCGCGAGACCTCGCCTGAGTTGTGAGAGCATAAACCCCTAACGCTTAAACTTAAACCCTTAAACCCTTAAACCCTAAGCCACGAAACAATGCCTGGCTGCTCCGAGTGTGAGCGCCGAAACCACAGAACCCTAGAACCCCAAAACCCTGAGCCCTTAAGCCTTAAACAGCACCGAACAACAAACGGTAGGCCCGCCTTGAGCTCGATTGGCGGTCCACCATGAGCCAGTCCCTGAGGGAAGGATCGGGAGCTGGGAGGTTTAGGATTTAGGGTTTAGGTAGTCTTAGTGCATTGCAGTCCCTGCTCAAAAAAAAGGTAGTCTGAGAAAGCTTCATGCAGCAGAAGCTCCCCTGGGACTACAGATCCTGAAAGACAAATCTCCCTTCGTGAAATTTGGCTTGGAGCGAAGCTGCAGATGGCAGAGTTTGAGTTTTCACAGTAAAATGCCTCGATCTTGTTTAAGCAGTGTATAGGATTTGGGCTTGTGAAGGTTAGGGACATGGGGTTTAGGGTTTAAGATTTTGGCGTTTTGCACTTGCCTGAGACTGGGGATTTTGGTCTGTGTCAAGTTTGAAGAGACTGGCGTCGGGTTCCCCGAGCTTTGGCGTTTCGGATTTGGGATGGGATTTGGGGTGTATAATCCAAGCTGTCATGTCCAGTCTAATTGCCTCGACATTGTATTACGATTGTATTGGTTATTGCCATGAAGCGAAAACAGCCTCCGGGGACACCCGAGAAGACGCTGCGTGTCTTCCAGACGTCCGGTGAAGAGCTCGCTTCAATATGTGCAGACGATGTGGGCAGTGTCCAAGAACTCAAACGTAGATTGGACGGCCTCTGTGGGGTGCCGCGATTTAGGCAGAGGCTCCTTCACGAGGGCGTCGTCTTAGAAGATGCTATGAGTCTCGAGTCTTCTATGGACGTTCAACTGGTGTTGTTGAACTTCTGCGAGGCCACGGAGGAGCAGGAAGAGGAGCTGCTTGTCGCCGCCAATTCCTTCGATGCTGCTCGAGTTGAACGGATACTTCAGCGACCCCAGAGCCCGGATACTAGTCTTGAGGCAGCGACGCCGCTCGGCGAGGCATGTAACAATGGTGATATAGACAGCGTCCGTTTGCTTCTGGAGGCCCGGGCAGATGTGGATGCTTCAGACAACGACAATGACACGCCTCTCTTGCAAGCAACTTTTCACGGCCATGTGCATGTTGTTGATGCTCTACTGGAGGCCAGGGCTAGCACAGAATCGATGCAAGACGATGACTCGACTCCTCTTTCCGTGGCAGCTTGTGAAGGTCTCGAAAGCCATCAGGAGATTGTTCGCTTGCTGCTGCGGGCACGGGCGGACACTGAAGCCAGAAATTGCGACAACGAGACGCCTCTTTTCGTCGCTTCCGAGTTTGGCAATGAGTCCGTGGTGTCTTTGCTTTTGCAAGCCCGGGCAAACCCACATGCAGAAAACCACATAGGTCGCACGCCCATGCTGGCAGCCAGTACAGAAAATCACGCAGGGATCGTACGCCGACTTGTGCAAGCTTTAGGAGGGACTGAATCGGATGGTGCCCCTCTTCGTGTGGCGGTAAAGTATGGCCGAGTGAAAGTCTTGCGGGTGCTGTTGGCATGCCGTGCCGACCTGGAAGCAAGAGACCCGTTTGGGAGAACGGCATTATCCCTTGCCTGTCGTCGTGGAAAAGAAGACAATTCCTGTGACCGCGTAGTGCAACTGCTGGTACAGGCCCGGGCCGACACAAATGCGGAAGACGATGACGGTCTAACGCCTCTTTGGCACGCAGTTCGCCGCGGCACCTTGCGACAGGTACGTTTCCTCTTGGAGGCTGGTGCCGACAGAAGCAAACCAGGTCCACACGGGACAACGCTTCGGCAGGCGGCCTGCCGAAGAGTCCAGATTCTGCGCTTGCTTTCAAATCGCAAGCTGTTGCGCATGCCGCGCAAGAGAGTTTAGAGGCATTGGGCGTTCCAAACACTCGAGAGCGAAGGCTTCCAACAACTGCTGCATAAAGGAACTATATGAGTCAGCTTTGGGGTGACATTGAGTGTTGCAGGCTGCGGTATGCATAGATGATTGCCGATGCCTTATATAAGTCTCACTGAACCCTGGGTGTGTTCTTTCCGCCCAGATGACAACTGCGTCAACCGGGTAACATATGCACAACAACAACAACAAAACCACAAAATCAAGCACAACCACCACAACAACAGTAACAAACACACAACGAGGAGCCAGCAACAACGAACACACACAGCACAAACAACATCAACACCAACAACCAACAAACAGCAACTACAACCAGCAACAAACAACAAGCAACAACAAACCAAAAACAAGCGACAACAACAACGACGACGACGACAACGACAGCGACAACAACAGCAACAACAACAACAACAACACCAACAAAACCAGCAACAACAGCAACAACAGCGGCAACAACAACAACGACGACAACAGCAACAACGACAACAACGACAACGACGACGAACAACCAACAACAAACAACAGACAACATACAGCGAGTAACCGCCGCCACCACCACCACCACCACCACCAGCACCACCAGCAACAACAACAACAAGACCAGCAGCAGCAACAACAACAGCAATGCCAGAAGCAACAGTAACAGCAACACCAACAACAACACCAGCACCAAGACGAACAGCAGCGACAACAACAACAACAACACCAGCGACAACAGCAGCAGCAGCAACAACAACAACAACAGCAGCATCACCAACAACCACAAACATGCTGCAACTAACAAACAACACAGCAAACCGAAGCCAACACACATCGAACAACAGCCAACGATCACGACACAGCAGACAAACACCAAACATCCACATACAACAACAAGCACCAACAAACAACGACAGGAACAACACAACCATAACGACGGCAACAGCTACAGGAATAGAAGCAACAACAGCAGCAGCAGCAACAACAACAACAGCAACACCAGCATCAAGGGCAACAACGGCAACAACAACAACAATAACAACGCTCATGTGCAGATGATTGCAAGAGCAGCAGCAACGGCAACCACAACCGCAACTGTAACTGCAATTGCACCTGCGGCAGCAACTGCTGCTGCTGCAACAACAACAACATCAACAACAAGAACAACAAGAACAACAACGACAACGACAGCAACATTGACTAAACTAGCAGCAACGACAACAAACAGAAGGTCACTTTACATCACCTAAGTTCGCTGCGGCGATTCATGAACCGGCAGTTGTAGATTCGAAGGTGTTTGGCTTTACATCGTGCATGACTACATGCCACGAGCAGTGTTGTGTGGTTGTTGGCTAAGGTTGTTGCAAGTTTTGGAGATATTTGGAGCTTTTAATCGCATGTATGCAGTGACAAGAAATAGCAAACTGGGCACCGGTTGGTTCTTGGAGATTCAGTTTGAGAACCACCTGGCAAAGCCTACAACGTCCCGTAACCCTACCTCGCCTGTCGGTTATCATTTCGATCTTACAGCGAAAGCAATAAGTCTTAGCGCCCTTTGCCCGTCCTCCTTCCATGACTACATCACTGTTACGAGCTGCTTACTAAATCCACCGGGCCTTGGGTAGAGCCCGTAGCTCCATCTTGGTCGTTGATCTCCCAGCCCTACTTAGTCCTGATGCCCTCTTCCCTAAACCCTAAAACTTCTGAATGGACACCAAGTTATGGGCAACAGCGCTGCAGCCGGGGAGCTCCGCATCTTCGCGGCGGACTTGTGACTCTGCAGCAGGGAAGGGCGTCCAGAGGGGCTATAACCTATTACCCTCCATCACACCATACATATCCACTATAAAGGACCATAGCGGCTCCAATAAAGGGCACTTGGGGGGTCCTGGAAGAGGGTTTAGGGGTTGGGTGGTTGGGGTTTAGGGTTTAATTGAGGGAATATAGTGGGCTTGGATTCCCTTTTCTGAAACTCCAACTTCAATTCAGGGGCTACGCGTTGACTTTTACCATCCTCTTGCGCGTTTGGGGCTTAGGTGCTTACACAAACAGTATTAGCCAAGACAGCTCATATCCAGCATGCAACTAAGCCTGGGCCAATGTTGCCGGCAGTTCCGGGTATTTGGTAACCGAGGCGTTTCATCTCCGAGTTACGTGAGCGTAGATCCGAAATCAAAACCTGGTAGAATCCGGGCTCGAAGCCGGCATGCAACCTTATCAACCCCAAGCCCGACATGAACCGAAACCCCCCAAAAAACCCTAAACCTTACCTTAACCCCAGGGAACCTAGTTTACCACGGCTCCTTATTATGATTTCCATACATAGGCCTTAAAACAGGGTACGTTTTGCAGGGTCCAGGTAAACCCTAGGCCCTATAGTATAGGCCCTAAACCTAAACCCTTACATTGTGGGCTTTGATCCTTAGCTATGCGAGAGGGAAAAAAACCCTTACATAGGTCCTGAAAGAAGGGCAGGTAAACCTTGAGAAGCAGCTGAGGCGACCCCGAGAGCTGCCAAAGGCCGCACGTTTCTTGCCTTTCAGGGTCTTAGGGTTTAGGGTATAAGTATAAGTATTTGGGTTTAGGGCTTTGGGTTTAAGGCTTCGGTCTTACAGTTTATGTTTTAGGGTTTAGGGCTTTGGACCTTAGGGGCTACTGCGGGGGTTTAGGACTAAGGGTTGAGGTTTGTGTTCATGGGTTTTGGGTTTGGGACTTACTATTTGGCTGAAAAGGATGTGAAGAAAATGACCCACGGAACAGAGGAATGCCAGTCAGCTGATGGATTCCTGCATATGCTGGAGGGGCTCCCATGTTTGAGTCTCTTTTGAGTTCTATCCTAATCAACCCTAAAACACCCGACAGGATACGCTGTTGGCACGACTGAACGCACGTGAAGCAGACCTTGGATACGGCCGCTTTCAGCTCAGCCATGTTGCAGTCTCTCAGGCTTTGGGTTTAGGGTTTAGGATCTCGGGTTAGGGTGTAGGGTTTTGGCTTTGGGGTGTTGGGCTTATGGGTTTGGATTTAGGGCAGGTATGAGAGTGAAACCGTACTAAGAAGCCAAGAAGAACAGAACATATTGCCGGGTGTAGAGGATCAGCAGCTCAAAGATGAGCACCTCTGTACGCAGGTGACACATGCTGCATGCATATAAACGCAGAACTTGCTGCATATCAGTTCCTCTGCAGGTTCATAGTAAGCGTGATATAGCATTGCATATTCTTCTGTCCTGTTTCGAGATAGTACCGTCTATGTCCCTAAACCCTAAACCCTTCAGGGCTAACAGGGTTCGGGCAGCCCCTGAGGCGATGCACCGAACAGAGAGGCCGTGGTGGGCCCTCCGCGCCCGGGTACTTCGCGAAGGTCCGGGGCTTTGGGTTTTTTTAGGGCTCAGGATTATTATAGGGTTTAGAATGTAGGCGTCTAGGATTTCGGGTGTAGGGTTCGGGGCTTTAGAGGTACAGGACTTACGGTTTAGGGTGGGTTTAAGTTCTTGGGGAAGCTAAAGCTGAGACTTGAGGTGGGTTTCGGGTGGCTTAGCGGTCTGAATATGCAGTACTATAGTCCCTCTAACATTAGCATGTAAACAGCCCAGTACCCGATTTTGCTCATTCAGTCCCCATTGCGCATGACTATGAAGCATCAGCTGTGCAAAAGAACTCCCTCTGTATTCGCAATCGTGATTTAGGGACCAGCAGGAGAGGGAAGAATGCCAAGAATCAGGAAATTGCAAATTGCAGGGTCTGTTAAATAAATTTGGATGAAGGTTTCATATTCCCCGGTACTGTGGGATTTCTCTTGTTCGGAGCTTCACATGACAAGATGTTCAAAGCCCATGCCGCCCCAGTGCTTGTAAAGTATAGCTCCAAAGAGCCGAATAGGTTTCCTTGCTTCCACGGTATCTAAACCGAATTAGGCGCTTGAGCCCTAAACCCTAAACCTTAAGCCTGGCATGTCCGAGTCGTGAGAGCGTAAACCCTTAAGGCTGCTTCGTGTGCCCCTTCTGCAACCTTCTGCAACCATGCCAGGCTGTACGGTGAAGACCTCCAGACTGGTGAGGCCCGCCATGTACTGACGATTTAATTTACTTAGGGTTTTTAGGGTTCATCAGGGACAGACTCCTGCTGTGTTATTTCTTCCTTCTACGGATAATCCAAGGGTCTTGTCCAACTGTGGTATCATTTGTGCAGCCACTCCGCGGTTCGGAACCTTGAACTTGTATCCCAAAGACCTGCAGGAAAAATCGGCGCGTCGAGCAATACCTGAACCCTCAAAAACCTATAGTTTTCGGAGGTAGCTATCTTCTTAGAGGAAACTATTGGGATGTCAGAATGAGGAGCCCTGAAGCTGGAGGTTTCTCGAGGTTCATTAGTTCTTAGATTTACATCGCGGCCGTTTTGCAAGGCCGAAGCGGCTTCCGTCCTGGAGAAAGCCGAGGAGTCCCAGTTTGAGATCTGGAATTTTGGGGATCTGGAGACATTTAGAGTGTTCTACACGAGCGTGTCTGTGTGCGTGTTTTGAAGCAGGGGTTCGGTCGGGAGTTTAGCTTGTCGTTTTGATTGTCCAGGGCTGTAGGGTTCCGTGCCTGGCGATGCATGCGTCTGACGGATGCGAGCCTCAGAGCCAGATGGATCACCCGACTTTGTGATGGACAGGTACACCCTCCGTCTAGCCTTGGTTACAATTCAGGATCCAGTGCATAAGAACCCTAAGCCCTAACTTGTTAATAACGAGACACTCTGTGGTTTCTTCAGCTCGACGAAAGCTCTCCAGGACGGTTCCGTGCTGTTCCTGAAGGTCGGTCTTTGTGCTAGTCGCGGAGCTCAGGCCAACATTGCGGTGCGATAGCGGAAACAGGTCATTCGATTGATTCTGTTGTTCGTGGGACTTGGTGGTGCAGAAACGTATATGTTCCGAACTTGAGCAACACACTGCGGCTGTCAGCGCTGAGGCCGGGACGTTTATCCCGACAGCGCCGAGGCACTCATTGCATTGTAGAGTAGAGAAGCCCCTGAGACCCGAAACTCTCGCTTGAGTTTCTGCCTTTTCCATCCAGTACCATACCACAGGTTGTACAGGGCCGAATATGTGCATGTATATGTACATAAATATATATATATATATCTGTATGTATATATGTATGTACGTATGTATGTATGTATGCATGTATGTATGTATGTGTATATATATATATGTATGTGTGTGTGTGTGTTAGCCTGTGTTGTTTGTGTAGAAATAGGAAATTAACCTAGACCTTGAGCGCTAAACCCCTACATAATGAATGACCAGGCTACCCATCGAGGCATGTTGGCGACCCCGCGGCTCAATGGACCCGAGGCGGTGTGCGAGGGATCAGCGATCCTAAAGCTGAGCTGAAGGGCCTTTCCTCATGCAGGGAGTGTGTGCTACAATCGGAGATCGGCAAAAAAATGCTCATGAAGCGCTGCTGTGCTCAACGATCTCGCGGTACGTGCTGCCGCCACTTGCCAGCACTGCCCCTTCTTATTCGCGGTACGTCGACATCAACCGTTGTATTCCCTCACTATGATTGGACCCTACACCACAGGCGGCAGCTGAAGGGAAATGCGATTTCAGGTGTATAAAAAGGAGTGCATTGCAGTGCAGCGCATGGCGGTGCAGCACTGTACCTTACACTGCCTAACCCTCTACTTTTGGAAATGATATGTCGGTTCACACTCTAAGCTGTCGAGCTCGGGTATATTACATATATATATATAGATTATAGACTTGAATGGACTTTTCCGGACTCCGAAGCTTTGCATCTCCTGCATTGCCGATGCTTCAGTCTCGAAGGCGGCTGCAGTGCTGCCGCATTTCGTCTTCGTATCCCCGGCGCTGCTTCATGCAAGACTCCCGACCACTGGAGAGCCGCGGCCTCGGCAAAGAGCCCCCAATTCATGCTGGCAGTGAGCAATCCCAGAGCATAGTGGCATAGTGATTCTCCAACTTCCTTCCATATTCTCCCGAAGTTGTGAAATCCTCACTGTCCCAGAGTCTTGGTTTGTTCGAGCTTTCCTCAGAGTCCTGCTTCACTATGTGTGTGGTTCTTTTGAAGCTGGAACCTGCCCCTGCAGCACCAAAATCTCCGGCCTTCGTTTCAAGGTGCTGTGCCTACATGCCACCACCAGAGCATGCTGCAGGCTGTGTGGTGCGGCCCCCAGTGCAAAAGCCCGAATACACCTCGCAGCCGACAAGCTACCAACGAGAACCCGTAGAAACATCGACAAGTGTGTATCACAGTGCTTGCCGACTGGATGTTGCTCACAAGCGACAGTTTAGATGCATTCGGAAGATGCCAAAATATGCCAAAGTTTGCTCAAAGTAGATCGTGAAGTTTGTGGATTTGGGATTAGGATGGTTTAGGGCTTCGCAGGATCTGGCTGAATTGGAGAAGTGTGACGTGCTGCATCGAACATATACCCTGGAGCTGCAGCAACGTCTCCGTGCACAGCTGAAGACCGAACAAAAAGACACAAATGCAAGACTTGTACACCCCTAAACAACCCCTGAATTCCTTCTTGCCCTAATGCCCTATTGATTGCGCTACTTGTGCTACCCAAGAGCCTCAACCTCCTGAAACCCTCTGGAAGGTCCCGGTTTGCACCTGCGCCCGCTTGTGTGACACACAGCGCGCGGCCTTCGCATCGTCTGGCCCCCAGAACTGGACGGCAGACCCCCAGCCAAAGGGCGATTATGAGTCTACAAACCGGACTTCTGGTGAGAATGCCGCACCCTTTATACAACTCGAAGTCATGTTCAGCTCCCTCTGGTACAATATAAGGTATAAGCGACAGCTAAAGCCTTTTCAGGTTCTTCTTCAGGAAGAGACTTTCGAGTCACAGGGCAGCTCCAATGATGGAAGGAACACGCAAACCAGTGAGTCATGCGTACTAGAAGTTTGATTCATACTAGTCATGTAAAAATTCCATCGAAATTCGGCAGGGCCTTGTCAGGGGTCTCTTTTGCTGCTGCGGGGAACATGGGCTAGAGCTTCATTGCAAGATTTGAGGACATGTCAAAAGGCAATCGCGACGGCCGCAGCCCTTTCCGATCGCAAGATCAATGCGCAATTGCAATGGATCCAGTACATGTCTAAAGACTGCACAGCAAGCTCGGCAGGTTGTTGTGCTCGGCGATATGAGAAAGCTAACAATGACGATGTGAGACATTCTGCAGCCAGACCGAGACTTCAAAAGCTGGGTCGGAGACCCGAAGGCCAGCTGATCCCTTAAATCGCCGCTAAGGGCCGCTAAAGCCCTACAGTCAAAGCATCCACCTTCGCCACAACTTCCTAGCATGCGCTGTCTTGAGCGACACAGGAGCCGAGCAAACCCCACGACTTTAGACTACTACCTAAAAGTCCGAGAAATAATTTAGAACCCCCGAGCTTGTCACACTCACCCCGAGCGCTGCAATAGATTCACTGCGATAGATTCACTGGGTCCGTGAGCTCGTCACCTTAGACCTTTTTCCGATGTATACGCCCCAAACATCCCCAAACCCTCACAGTTCCGATGACCTCTAAACCCTAATACCCCCAACACCCCCAAACCCTCCCAGTTCCGATGTGCCATGGACCTGACAGCAGCTGCATGGCTCGTGGAGGGCGCCGAGGTTGAGCGGGAGCTGGATGACATCGGAGCCCAGCCTTGGCAGAAAGACTTTCGAGTCGACAGGCTCTCTTTTTTGAGGTATAGGAGTTTCTTGGGTTTATAGGGTTTAAGGGCTACCGTTTAGGGTATATAGGGTTTAGGGGGCTTAGAGGGTTTAAGGGTTAGGGCTTTTTCGGGGTTTAGGGCTTAGGGTTCGGGGTAATGGTTTAGGGTTAGGGTTAGGGCTCTGACTGAATGCATCTGGGAGTGATGCATGTGTTTTTCGTTTTTCATGTTTGTACAGGATCAGGGACCACGTTGCACCCAAGATGTGCCCTTTCTCTCTCGAAGCCTGCACGCAGAGGCATGACTGCTCTACTTTCGGCAGAGGATAAGACAGAACAACTCCAGCAAATTGCCTTACATCTTCTCCTAGCATACAGGTTGTTTTTCCTAACCCTCTGTTCTAGGATACTATACCCTACTCTTCACGCCAACCTCAGGAAACATCTGGATCCGGGGCCGCATCACGCGCGTCCTCGACGGCAGACAGCTCGGGGCTCAGAGCTCCGTGGGTGCACGGAGGAGTCCACGCTGCCGCTTTAGGGGCTAATTAGGGTTAGGTTAGGGCTTTGGGGGTGCCTGGCATAGTAGAAAGGAGTCGACGACTGTATCCGGAATTCCCAGAAGGTGATCATAAATTGAAACAGGCCCCCCTGAGTGTGACAGTGTGCCCGCGTGGTGCCTTATAATATCCTTATAATGCAGACAGGACCTGGATCCCTTGGGATACAGCCCTTGTGTCGTATGAATGTCTCAGGGTTCGGCATCGGGGCTTCAGGGTACTAGGCGGGGGGGGGTTCGACACCGAGCATCTGAAGCAGTCCGACGAGACGATTTTTGCTCGTTAGACTATCCCCAATCCGATTATGTGTAGACCAAGTGTGGCTCACTGGCCATCTTTCGAATAGGCTCGTGGACCTCAGCTACCACGATGGGACTGGAGAGCAGGATGTGCCTGTGCCTGGGCTCGAGTTACTGTTGCCTTCATCTGGTGAAACAGGTTGAGTCAAGTTTGGGCCTCTACAGTCGCCGCTAGCATGTGGCATATGGTTGAGAGAACATGAGGGTGCCACCGAAGGTTTCCGAAACAAGTCCTGGCTCCAAATTAGATCTACCTGCCAACAACTTATACCTGGACCAGCTGGTGCGGACATGTTCTCAGCCGTCGATCCATTCACCCACAGGGTCTAAGTACCAATAAACGGTACTTAACAGATATCTGGGCCCAAAAGTATATGTCTATACCCTAATCCCCCTAAGCCCTAAAGACCCTAAACCCTAAATCTTAAACCGCTAAACCCTAAACCCTATGACTTGGACCCTTTGGGTCCTTTCTGAGGTCGCAGACCTCAGACCGCTGCTGCCTGCGGCCTTCTCCCCACCACAGAGACAGAGCGTCTCCCCGACCAAGGCCCAGCTCGGTCGAAGCAGTCTGGCACTATGTTAAAGCCGACCTGGTAAGATAATGCTTGTATATATCATAACTGTAATGTAATGTAGTACAATATAACTTACCGAATAACATATAGTTTAATTTTTATAATACAGTATGATACAATGTAGTGGAATGTAATGAAACACGATACAACACGATTCAAGAGATAGTATAACCTAGAACAACATTACACAGTGTTATGTATAATACAGCGCTGCAAATATGATATGAAATATCATAATACACAACAAATTAGTATAATGTAATGTAAAGAATGTTGATATAAACCATTTGAAATCGAACCTAGAAGAGAATAGGGTAGACTATGGTCTATTTTAACACAGTGATCATATGATATTCTATCAGACTACATAATATTATATACCAACGCAAAAATATGCTATATTATACTTTGCTATATACATACTGTTCTATATACTCTGCAGTATACAGACTATACTGTATTGTTTAAACTATATACTATATACCATATACTAGATATGCCGTAGCTTACTATACTATACTATATTACACCATACTATACTACGCTATACTGTACTATACTATACCTATACTGCAGCATCATAGCACAGCAATATCTAATAAGTTTCATAATCCAAAATATTTACAATTTTACGCGAGGATATCATATAACAAAGTATGAATTGATACACTATAATGTGACAGATCATCATATAGTTTACTATAGTACAATATAGCAGAACATAATCTAACATAACATAATCGAAAACGCTACTGTGTAATCTAACGTATGCTAATACGCGCAGTATGTTATGCAAGTTCATATATGTAGGCTCCATGAGGGAATTCGTGAACCCGTAGCAGCTCGAATCTCTGTGCACATCAACAGCAGACCGCCGCGAAATTTGGGCCTTCTTGGCTACATTGACAACAATATTGCATCAGTGTCAGCAGGATCGCGGCACTCCGGCACCACCACCTCCGCCGCCAAGTGCTCCAGAGGAGGCTAGGCGGTGGTCGAATTGAGTTTCCAGATGACATTTGTCGGAGCCTCATTTCCACACCAGACTCACCACCAGCCCACAGCCAACCCCCGTAGGCTAAACCCAAATCCCTAATGCACACGAAGCTTTTCTTCGCAGGCCTAGTCTGCACTCTGCTTTCCAGGAGCTGGCACGTCCTAGTCCCAGTCCCTCCCTGACGCAGCGAATCGCGGCGCTCCGCGCAGAGGCAGGTCTACTGGTGGCTTGGCCCTGATGTAAACATGTGCATGGGGCCAGCAAAAGTCGCCGCAGAGCAGGAAATTCGTCAGTTATTCCGTCGGAATGTCGCTAAACTGACTTGCTGATCATCTCGCACCCAGGACCGGAATGTCCAAACGTTGAAGGAGCGGCAGGACTGCTCCCCAATCCTCCGTTTAAGTCATTCGGATTTAGGGCTAGATGTTTCTTGAATCGAGACCTGCTCTCTAAGAGTCTGAGATGCGAGTCTAGCATCCTCGTTATAAGCTATAGCACTACCCCAAATGAGGTGCCCTAGTTTTCGGAAAGCTTCCAACCAGGATTCGAGCCTTGCGGCCCTGGAGACTGCGAATCAGGGCGTTTCCGAGGTGCACCGGGGAGTTGCGTCGGGCCGAGGGCCGCGCAGAAATCTGCTCGAAACATCGCAAGCATCGCAAGCCCTAACAAAAAAAACACGGTGCGGTCCCTGGAAGTTGAAATCTGCCGGGTTTCTAATAGTTAAGACAGGGTTGAGCTGTAAGCCTTTTTGGAGGAGGTGGTGGAACCTTGTTGGGCGTTTGAATTTCCGGTTTTCGGCGAGCCACAAGCAGGCAGCAGGTCACATAACATAGAACCCACGACGACCACCGTTCTCTACATCAGCATGCGCATGAACAGGCCTAGTGTCTTTGCTTCACATCCACACATCTCGAAAAAACAAGCAGAAAAAGAGCATGCCGCGACTTGCCAGCACCAGCACGTCTTGCAAATGGTAACCTGTTCGTCGCCGACTCTGCCGACTTGCATTTGGGGCGGTGTCAGGTGCATTTGGGTTTGGGCGTTCGTTTGGTTCGGAACCCCAAAGGTTTAGCAAGCCCACCTCCTGGCCATGCGCTAGGCGCAGTCGGGTCTGAGCCAGCGGATGAACTCCGCCAATGAGTGTTGCTGGGTCCAAGAAGATCCCAGGGAGTGAGCCCAAAACAACCTTAAAATCAATCGATGCATATATATATATATATATATATATACACACACACACACACATAGACATGCACATACCACACAGCACATACCTAAAGCTGCGGAAACCTACTTTAGTAAAATACAAACTGTATAAAGGGGCTTAGAATACGAATGTACCGATAGACGGAGACAGACAGACCGATAGATAGATAGATAGATCGATCGATCGATCGAAAGATAGATCTCCAATTGCGAGCCAGTCTGGCCCCAACGCTCGTTATTCCGAGCAGACCTCTGCAGAAGGCATTTGGATTGATTGCATTATTGCATTCGAACGGTACAGAATGTAGAATAGATCGATAGGTGCATGGATAGGTGGATACAGAGATGGGATGATGCATACTTACATACATACATGCATTGACATACAAACATGCATACATATACCCTTTCTTACCTATCCCCCTGCCCGCCTGCCCACCCGCCCGTCAGCCCACCCACCCACCACCTCGAACCAAGGCCTGCCACAAAATGTTGCAGCCCAAGGCTTGTCCGACATCCAGGGCCTTGTCGCCGAGGCGAAGCGCATCCTCGCCGATGCCGCCAGCAACTAGACCTGCAGGCTCCTACAGGCATTGAGGCCGTCGGATTCAGACTGCTGCTCTACACCGCAGGGTTTACGGTTCAAGAATTTTGACTCTCAGGGTTCTTCAGTTGAGTTCCCTTTGCTTCAGCAGGCTGTTGGTAGAATCGCCACGGAATCACCTGCGGTGTACGTGCAGAAGAGAGCTTGGCTGAGCTCTCGAGATTTTCTCCACTTCTCGGCCTTTGCCCAAGGCAACTCCGGGTTTCGTGACCTGGCCGTCCTGGACCGGCTGCGGCAGAGCGTAGGGCGCGCATCGGGAACTTCGGAGGCTCTTCGTAGAAAATGCCCGCAGCAGTTGACTGATGGCCGTCTAAGGTGCCTTCCTTGCATGCGCTGTACATAGGGACATGTTGTGAATTCCATCGGATATGAATCTTGCCCTTGTGATGTGTTGCCGTCTAAGTTGTGTACATTGATTGTGCGGCAGGTCAGCACCATCGACGGCCACGAGGTCATTGAGGCTCAAGACATGGCGCACTCTTGAATCCAAAATGCCTTGCTACTGCAATTGGGCATCAGTAGTCTTCCCGTCGGTCATGCCTGATCCTGTGCAAGATGCACTTCTTTGGCTTATTATTCTACAATTCAGAGCAGTTCTTGCTCGTGCGGTGGTTAATAGATCTGGCTCCTGAATTTACCACTCTGCGACAGTCGACGCCTCATGCACTGCCACAACGTACCGGCAACGAACAAGGTGTTCATCAGAAGCGCTAAAAATTACCACATGTGAATGATAGAGAACATGGAGTACCTTCACATGCCCTCGACGCTACCCTTATAAACCCCTAAGCCTAAGGCTTAAACCCCAAACCCCCAAACCCCTAGCATTGCCTGCCTCGTACGAGAGTGAGAGTCGAAAGCCCTAAACCCCGAAACTCTGAACCTCTAAACCCTATGCTCTATATACCCCAAACCCTTGAAACCAGCCCTCCACGAACCCCAGATGCTTCGACGCGCAGACCACAGGCCTGGGTTCCGGCCCCGACGAGCTCCCGAGCCACCTGTGCGCAGCCGAGATGCAAGCAGCCGCCGACACAAAGGGTTTAGGGTCCTTAGGGTCCTGAGGGTTTAGGCTTTAGGGTTTAGGGCAACAGACAAACAAACAGCGAGACCAGCAACAAGAGTGGCAAAAGCAGCGGAGAATACATCGGAACAGACAAGTAGAAGTCCGCAACCTTTGTAATTATGATTCTGGCTATTGCGTTACTCATTTCATGAGTTTTATTCTTACTAATAGGCCTCTTTTTGAATCAGCAGCAAGACCAGTAACAGGAGCAGTAGAAACAGTAGATCACATGCTTCACATTAAATTATGCATTTCTGTGCTGCTTCCTAGCCGTAGTCAGTACTCCGACATGCCATGAATTGAGTGCAGGCCCTTCCGCTGCAGCGCATGCTTAGCCCGTGAAGTTAAAGCATGGGATCTGCGTATGGCCAGCGTCACAGAAGATATGCACACACGTACACATGCACATAAGGATGCATATGCATGAGATGCATCCATCCGTCCATCCATCCATCCATCCATCCATCCGTGCATGTATATTCCCGTACACATATAAAATATGTGCCTGCGCATGCGGTGCATGAACCTTTTAGATGAACATTTCAGGTTGTGCACCACGCTGCGCCTTAGCGGCTACCCCTGGCCCAACGTGTTGGAGACGGCAGTGGAGTGGGTGCGACACCACCAGGCACTCCATCGAGGGAGTTTGCAGGGTCATTCCGACGAGTTCTGCCATGTTTGTAGATATCCCCGGGAGACTCTCGAAGGTGCATCACGCATTGCTGCACTCTCATTTCATTTCTTCGGAGGCTGGTCGTGAACTGAAGGCTGCCAGGTGTCCAACCTTGCCCGTCATTGTGTCATGTTCCAAGAGATGCGTCCACCCCTGCTTTTGGGAGAGTCATACACCAGCGAGCCCGATGCTCCTGCCGAGGCATTGGGGTTTGACCCAATCCTGATCTTCATAGATGAGCCGGATCCTTCAAAAACGAGCTCTTTGGCATCTGCGCTGGTAGAGAGCCTCAGCTGCTTAGACAGGTGTGCTGGAAGTCCCCATTGGAAGGGGGCCCGGGGTGCGCTCCAGCACGTGGCCGTTGAAAACCGAAAGTTCTGATCGTTACTCACGCTCTGGTTCCTCGAATGAATTCTCTCTACTCTGTTCGAGTGCAAGCCACGAAAAACTACCACACTCACAAGTTTCAAAACCTACAGCACTCAACACTCGAGCGAAACAGCCCAGCTGACACAAACTCTATATACCTACCCATGTGAATCCCCCAAACAGCCATGCATGACCAGGAGCGGTCTCTCCGCGCACCTTTTCGCCGAGGCGACCGGGGAAATTCGGAGTTTGGGGCTACGGCTGAAGGAGTTGATGCCTCAAGGGCTTGAGGGGTCTGATGCTGCGCTGCATCCTGAGCGGTTCCCACCCGATACTGAGATGGGGTTTGGCGGCTATAAGAGCTTACGCAGATCGACGACTGGTGCGATGCAATCTGGTACCTGTGTTTCTTGCGCACAGTTTAAGCCTTTCAGTAGTACATAGGGTTTCCCTTTGGTGAATTTCAGGAACTGAAGGTGTATCTTCGGATTGAGGACGGTGTGGGGTTTGCATGTCTCAAGGGTTCGAGGTTTGGGGATTCAGATTCACAGGCTGCGACATTCGGGCCTTTGGTGTGCATGAAGGTTAGCCTGGAATAACAACGATGGACTTAATACGTAAACGATATAGGTACATGTTCATGCGAATGGATATGCGAGAGTCCATAAACTCTTCTGCACCTCCAGGGCAGTTACGTACCACCTTGAGAATCCCCAAAGCGTCAGGAAGAAATGCGGACTGGCTGGCTACAGGCTGGTCTTCTCTGGGAGGCGGGCTCGGAACTAGTGTTTCTGGGAGGCAGCCCCACTCTCGACGTCTCTCTCGCCGCCTTCTGGTCTCTCTCTGCCTCTGTCTCTGTGTTTCGAATCCGGATATCAGGAATTTGGGCATCAAGTCGAGACTGAGCTCAGCGCGCTCCTGGCCAGGAAGGTTCTTACATGGGAGTTTCCGAAAATAAGGGGTACCTTATTTCGGGGTCCTGATAATAAGGTTCCTACTATTTGGGGTACTATATTAGGGTCCCCTATTTTCGGAAACCCCCATATTTATATGCTACCGCAGTCGTTCGATAGTGGCATTGCCAAAGACTGCAAGGCTGGCAGGAGGGAGGTTCGACTTGCTTCTGAATAATTCCCCCGTGCAGGGCCATGCAGTTTCGAAGTGTTCTTCCGTCGGCACGACATGAACTATAACCAAGCGTGCGGTAAGGCATCGGGCCAACTTAAACCCTACAGTTCTCCCGCATCGATGTGCCCAGGAAGCAGATCCTGAACTGCTCAAGTGCACTCCGTTTCTGCCGTTCCTGCCAAGAGCCTCAGACGCACGTGACGATGCCATGTACAACTTGGGGTCCTGGTGTTTAGAGCTTCGGGGTCTTCATCCCGAAAGGTTGCAGATCGAGATAGTGCCCCATAAGAGCTCGAGAAGCTGCAGCAGAACCAAATCGTCCCGAGTTTACCGAAGAGGTCACTGCCGGTCCGAAGCAGGATCCGCCAAAACAGGACCTGCAGCATGCAATACCAGCAACAGGCAACCATAGGGGATCTGGCGATGATGACCATATGCAAGAAGTAAATAGAACAGAGTATCACCAGTCCCCAGGAACCAGCTCAATGGCTTCTGAGTGCAGACCTCGACGAAGCAGTCGTCCTCGATGGTCACGTTTCTGAATCGTAGCCACGCCACTCTCTGCCCAGCTCTGATATGTTTACAGTCACATTCACAGATACCGAAAGCTGCTGCATGACGTGAGCTGCAGGATGCTTGCGGAATGCAGCTCAATTTCGTGTTCTTTGCGCCAAGGCGATGTTGCAAGTCACTTCGGGTCTATTCCTGGCAATGTTGGCCAGGTTGTGTGGCTTGCCCCGCATGATGTTATGTTGGTGCCTGGACTGCTGATTCGCGGCCTAAAAATCTCAACCCCTAATCGCCAAGAGCCTCCATTGGCATGTTCAACAGTGGGCGCCGAAACCTAAAGCTCTAAATTCTGGTATGTCGATTTGCGCTTGATCGCTTGAGCAGAAGTGCCCAGGTACACAAACCACGAGGCAGTGACCGGTGCAGACGCGGGCTCCACCTGGTTCACGCAGGCTTTGGCCACCTTTTCTTCGCCCACACCCTGGCCAACATAACCCTTCGTCACAAAATATGTACCTTGAAGTCTGGAAGTGTTCGTAATGAAGGTCTATATAGTAGTAAGGTATAATATATTCCCACGTGCCTCGTATCCCTAACCCGGGACCGCCCCGCCCGAAAGAGGTGCAGCAGTTCAAGATCTCGCCTTTGACCAAGCTGCCCTTTATGGCCCGGCGGTTCCCGGATCACGATGCATCCCGGCTGCAGAAAGGGCGCCGAGCTTAGGGAAGTGAGGCCGGGGGGGGGTTGGGTGTACTGGTAGCCAATATCTGTGATTGTGGAAGAAGCACAAGCTGCCAACAGGATGCGAAGCAGCATCGTTCTTGAACGCCAGCCAAGCCCGTCTCACGATTTTTTGGGGGTGTTCAAAGGCTTAGGGGTTCAAGAGTTCGTGTGAATCCTCAAGCCAAGGAGGAGCCGCAGATCCTGGATCATCCTGAGGGCATTGGCGAGAATACCCTCGCCTACTGGAGGCCCTCCGCTAGACTTGAGGTTTCTCTTGAAACGGCTGTTGTTGGTTTTGATTGACCAATGATTCGAGCTTTCATTCCATCACTGCAAGGGTTCGTCTGGCAAGGAAGCAGGAAGCCAACTCCAAAGGAGGGTCTAAGTAGGGTTTCAAGATGGGCACGTAATTCGCTTACGGCGTAGGGTTTCTAGGGCTCATGGCATATAGAGTTTACAAGTAAACGGTCTGGAGGTCAGTACTTATGTCGTACCGAACACCATGTGCCTACCTATCTCTTCATAAACAGATCAAAACAAGATAGATCTAGCGGATAGAAAGGCAGACGGATAGGTAGGTATACCACGAAACTTTGATAGCTATCCGGGCTTCAGCCAGCCTGACAGGGCGCAGAACGCACGCCTCGCGGAACAGTTCAACTTCCGAAAGCGAGCCGCGGGTGCGAGCTGCAACTTGCCCGAAGGGTATAGGATGGAGGGTTCAGATCGGATCAACTTCAAGGCGTTTCAAGGCCAAATAATGCCTACATATGGGTTGAGAGTTTAAGACTTTAGGAACATCATGAGCCCGAAGCATCTCTTTGATTTTGTTTCTCGTTGCCTGCATGGAGACCTCTTCCATGTCGCAGTATACTCGTCTCCAGGTATTGCGACCCGCATCCCGTTTCCCCACTCTGCTTGGGGGTCAGAGTTTGTGTTTCGTGGAGCTTAAAGAATGCAGCCCTAAGCCTAAACACTGATCATAAACCCGAAGCATCTCTAAACCCTGAGCTCTGCAAACCTTGAAATCCAAAACAGGCCCTTATAACCCGTAAACTAAACCACAGGCAGCTACTTCGATGGATACGTCCGCGGAAAGGCCGCCGTCCGGCTCGAGGCGATCAACGAAGCATCGAGGCTTCACGGGTGTTGGTTTCTTGGGGTTTGGGATTGGGGCTGTCAGGGGGTTCAGGGATTTGGGGTTGTTTTGGCAGTTGGGTGCGGTTCCGGGGTTTAGGGTTTTGCGAAATCACGCAGTGCTGTTTCGCAGCTGATCAGCAGAGTCTGGGTTCACAAAAAGGAGGTTGGGTATAGTGTTTAGTGTTGCGAGGGTTTAGCCTTTAGGGTGCAACCGGGCCGCCGTTTCGAAGAGTTTCTTGGGGAAGGCCTGGTGTGCACCGGTGGCTGGAGCTTTCTCCTGGCTTCAGCACCGTGGTCACCCATCCGGGCAGTGCCTCCATTCTCCACTACCTCAACTGTGGAGGCCCTTTGCAAGCACAAGCCGTGTGAGTCAGCCTATCTTCATGTCCGGCCTGATGCCTGCCTTGCCTCCTGCCTGAAAGCCTGCGAGGACTGGATTGGTTCGAAGCCAAGCGCCCTCGACTTCAATCGAAGGTGTAAGCTTCACATTGATTTGTGCGCAGTGCTTCGTAGCTGAGCAGTTGTCAAAGAGACAGGATGATAGAGGGTACGAAGATAGATCTGTGTTGCAGTCAAGGTACCAAATCCGCGGCTCGGAGGAAGCCAATCGCCTTTGGTTCCATGTCCTCGCGCAGGACTACTCAACCGACTATTTGTTGTGGCAAACAGCTGTCCGGCGAGGAACGAAGCATTGCAACACAAATCTACGCGGATGTACCCACGACACTTTACGCTGACATGGCCAGGTGGTTGCATAAACCGGTGGACCAACAGCATGCAGAGTGGCCGGTAGACCGCTGCACATGTGAGGTAAAATACTTAAACTTAGCACACTCACACCCGGAAGCCGAAGTTGCCAGATGGTTTGTTGCCAGGAGCGGGCGAAGATGGGGCGAGCAGCGCTCAAGGAGTTGTACGATGATGTCGTTCGGCTCGTTTCAAGTTCGTGCTAGTTTTGTTAACATTGAATGTTCTTATGAAAAGTATGCCGCAAAATTGTTTCAAAACCCTATTTTCAACGACTTGCACCTCGAATTTAGTATGTTCTGTCAGGGATCCCTCGAATTCTTAATCTCTCAGCTTCTCAGGTCTTGTCGATTCCTCAAGCTGCCTTGGACGAGCAGGTCGATGAAGGCTGAAGTGGTGGATAGACTGGGGTTTAGCTGTTTTGGCTTATGGGGTTTAGGGTAGTCCGGTCCAGGATTATGCATGTCAAGAAAAGGCATGTCTAACACAACCTATTGGGAGGGAACTCAACGATCGATACTTTCCAGAACTTCGAAATTGGTCGGCTGTGAAGTTGAAGCACTCAGGATGAGTTTATTTGATTTCGCATGCAGAGGCCTGAGCATCGTTTGGTCTCTAGTTCCGTCTTGTGACGCTGATCGATGTCTGCACAGATGTGAGCATATAAAATTAAAATGGTCGCACTTTTTGCCATCACTGCTGTGGAAAATCTGATGGCTACCTGTGCGAGGCTTCGTTTCCTCCCTCGGGCTGGCGACTCCGTCCAGCCAGGCTCGGACTGCTGCACTTCACAACGGTTTCAAGCCATCGCCATGTACCAGTGATTGGGCTGATTTGGATGACAGCGGCCCTAAGACGACAGTGTTGTTACACGGTGCGAGCTGTACAGCAGTACAGGCTCAGTGCGGCGACAGGTCCGGTGGTGACGCAGTCTTGTGTGCGTGTGTCTTCGGTCGGATAGCAAGTCAAGAAAACAAGCGAGTTCTGCATTGTCGCGATATGCAACAGATACCCAGCCATACGTGTACCTTCAAACCAAGTTAGTTCCTTTCTGCCACCAAAGTTACAGTCAGCGTAGCTAGGATCCTGGAACAATACGTTAAAGGAAACCAGCTAGCAGCTAGCCACAAAACCGAACTAGAATGTAGTCCCGTATCACTTTCAGCCAGGCACTGGCCTCTGCCTTTCGCGGCTTTTGGGGCTGGGCAGCTGTGGGACTCGGGGACGGCTTGTATGTGTCCTGGAGGCACAAACTATTTAAGATGCACAGTGTTTTGATTCAGGGTTTAGCCGCTTAGCCGGCGTGTTTGAGGTGGGCACGCAGGGCGTTTTGAGTCAACGTGTGTAGATCCAGCTCTCCTCTGAGAGACAATTGTATGCTTGACGGCATGTGCACACTTCGACATGGTCGAGCGAAAAATGGTAGCTAAAAGCTCAAATCGCTTGACCAGTGACCGATCCCCTAAACTCTACGGTAAACCCATTCGACCGAGGTTCATATTCCATTGGCTTCTGGCCTCCCAGATTCTCCAGGTCTGGCAGGACGAAAGGACATGTGTTTTGTTTTGTAGGGGCGGTCAAACTTACCTCTTTTGGTGGGACTGACCGTGGTTCGTTGGTGTTGTTTCGCAGTTTCGGTGGTACATCCAGCATGTCCCCCCCCCTTCCTTGCAAAATCAGACGCCGAGAGTAGCCTGCGCCGGAAGCTGAAGGCCACCTGCCTCTGCAGCAAGGCGTGGATGCGGCCCAGGGCATGGGCAAGCCTGTTCGGTAACTTGGCGCATTCGGTCTCCATGCCTGCAGCTGTTGGTTTTCGTGGAAGTTAACGCAAGTTAGGCGAAGGGCAGGAAAGTATCACTTTGAGTTGAGCCGATTCATGGCATGGGTTGAGCGAATCGGGTTTCTGTGATGGAGATCCCGTGTGTCACAATAGCTCCTGGAATTTTCTTCCGGCTTCTGCAGCATGCCTACTGGCCTGCTGGTTTGCCGACAATACACAGCTTTGGTCCATACGGAGGCTCCGGCTCAACAAGAGTGAAGGGTTGCAACTGATCAAGTGAATGAGGCAGAAGAGCATTGGGCCCTTGTGCATGCTCGTCCTTGCTGCTTCGCACCAAGAATTTGAAAACCACTGAGCCCCACAAAGCTGACCCAGACCTCAAATCTCACGACTTGGTTGTTTTCTTGTTGCTTCCCTGGCAGGTATCTCTTGTCTCCTGGGGAGTGCTGTGGTGGCCCCATGGTTCTGGGAGTCGAGACGCCCGTTCTTTGCGCGACTGTCCCCCCAAGCCAGCGCGGTTACTGGGCCTTGCTAGATACGACGACTGCATGCGTGTGTGTATACACACGGGTATGATTGTATCTCCAGTGCATTGGGTCATGCGTCTTGGGGATCAATGGGGTCTCGTGATAATCTAACCGCAGCAGGCTAGCATACTGTAGACCCCCAACAAGTCGTAAAGGTTTGTCCGTGCTAGAATCGTGCTGGAGCAGGGCCAATCGTGCCGGCACTTCTTTCTTGTGTTGTCCTCGCCTACAACTTACCCTGGGCCTACGGTTGACTTGTCTGACCTTCATTCCCGATTCCTTGAGCGCCAACCTATGCCGAAACGCATATCACAATAGTAGGCACTTTATGTAAGGAGGCCTAGGAGCCGAAGACAGGCACGCTCGGGGCCCGCGGCTAAGCCTGCCCCTGGACACAGAGTGTTGATATTGATACGCAATGATGCGCAAGAACAGCCTTTTATAAGGCGTTGGTAAGCATGTCTGTGTACGCTCTCTTCGCTCGTTCCAGGGGGTGGGGGTTGGGAGCAGTCAGGATCGGTGCCAAACGCAGTCATGAGACCTAGGTGAAAATGCAAGTTGGATCTTGAGCGATATGCAGACAAGAAGCCCCGGGACCGCTTGGGTGTCCTGTCGTGTGTTCGCGCATGTAGACTAATGTTTCGCTCGCTCCACCTGAAGAAAAGCTGTAAGCAGCCATGCAGCCAATCGCAACTGCTATGCCGGTTTCCGTCTGTACTCGAACCCTGGCGAGCTGCAACAGCTGCTAGGCCAGGCACGTCCGCTAGATGCAAGTCATCCGCGTCTTCTGGGGGCGGCTTTGGCTTGGGCGTGAGGGTGTGATACAGTCCGCGACTTTGAAAGCGCTGTGCTGCAGATACCAGGCAACAAGTCGTTTCACTGGTGTTAGCCATCGCCGGGAAGGGAAAGCATTCCAAGCGTACATCAGATTTCGAGGCGTGCAACATTACTTGGGCTCCTTCGACACCGAGATTGAAGCGGCACATGTGTATGATCAAAAATTGCGAGCCTTGTGCCCGGATGACGAGATCCGCTTGGAGAAGTCATTGAACTTCCCAACCATGCGGGAAGCATCGCTCTTCGTGAGTCGACGTGAGAGGCGCGAGCGTAATTTGCAAATGCATTCTGAACATGCAGGCAAGGAAGAGGAGTCCTTTCGTCGCTTGCAGGCCAACTTTGCGGCATCGCCTCAAGCATCAACCTACGAGATTTTACTTGTTGCTGGATCTTCCAAGGTGGATGCTTTATTTCAGATTGCAAGTTCAGCCGCGGGCGGAATACCTTTGCAGCTCAAGTCTGCCAGTGCAAGCGGCCCAAGACGGAATTCATTTTCGTTTAACAGGGTATGTGGATATGAAGGCATGTTGGTCGTTTTGATAGCCCTTGACCAAGATCTTATGTGGGTGGCAGCGGGTGCATGCATCACACAGAGGACTTTACGAATAACCCTGGGTTCACAGCGGGATCGAAGGCTGCGTGTGAGCGACATCGGCGCAACTCTAGAAGAGTGCTATCGACGGCCAGAGGTCTATCCGCTTTTGTCTCTCAGAGAGGCAAAATTCCACTGCAGCCAAAACCACAAGGTAGAAGAACAGGCCCACGCTGTTTTAAAAGTCATGTTTGCTGGCATTGGCTTTCGCCTTGAGAGGCTTGCGAAGTTGCAAAATACTTCCGCAGTGGATTCATTTCTCTCTGGGCACGGCTGCGAGTGGCGCGTGCAAGAGAAGGCATCAAGTTGTCTGAAGACAAATCGGTATGCAATTAAACTATGCAGAAGTGCCGGAGAACTTGGTCGCCGTGCCTATATGGAATCAGAATTTGATATATTGCTGGTTGCAATTTTGGACGGCGAGCGTTTGTCCGCCGTGTTTGTTTTTCCATCGCATGTCCTGGCAAAGCACGAGCTGGTCGGGAATAAACCCAAGAGCCTGTCGCTGCATCCGCCCTGGGCACTAGCGGAAACAGAAGCCACCCGGAAGAAGTACCTCTGGCAGCTTGAGTATTTTGTGGACTTGCGCAGTTGGTCTGGAGATCCGGTACTCCCCACTTGCACACGCAGGTGTTTGCAGAGCTTGGTCGACAAGCTTGCACCACCAACTCCATCGCAGGAAGACAGGTCTACGGGTTGCACAACAAGCAAATGAGAAGGATTGGGAAGCAAAAAGGGCCAGAGGTTCTTGGCTTCTCAAGACCAGGCGTGCATTCCGAACTCGGATACAACAGTGTGGCCACAAGACGTTAGCCATTCCGAGCTGGATGGATAGACCTATTCTTAGATCTCGTTCATTTGCTGTAAACATCAGCATGGCTGATTACATTTAGGGTATCAAGATACCTGTATGGTACAAGGTGCAGCACATCAAGGTAGTGAATGTGTCTTTCGGGTGATGAGGCGCGTTTGGCTTGCCAGTGTCTTGTCGCAGCCGAGGCTCCTTGGTTCTGGACGTGTCCCTGGCGAGTCAACCCACCGCGGAGCGGGGCCTTTATGTGCCCTTGCTGGTGAAAGTCAGGAGAGCAGTGTAGGGAAGAAGGCATGCTTTGTGGCTGCAAGATGCTGCAAGTAGCCCAGTGACTGGACTGTTTTCGTCAGCGATGGATTTGCACATGCGGAGCTGCTCCACTGCAGACCTCGGGTAAGCCCCAAAGATGGACACTGACGGGTTCTGCTCTGGAGGGAGGGGTGGGCCATAACCGGGCCAGGCGTGCATAAGGTTTGTCAAAGTCTGTGTGGTGTAGTGAGGTCGAGGCAGGAAGCAAGAGCGAGCAACCTCGCAAAGACATGCTAGCCAAACATGGCAAGACACCCTTGTTGGAGAGTGCTTGTCCGCAGAGGGTCTGGCTCCAACGTGACGGTGAGATTCTGAACATACCTGTTGGGCTGTTCGGCAACATTCATGATGGCTCCTGTGATGAGGTCTGTATCTCCAAGTCTGCCGAGTCGCAGACAAGCTTCGAGTGTATGTTGCTGGGATGCAGCACATGTCTTTCTGCGGTATCTGTTCCGACGGTGCTAGAGCTGCGACAGCCTTCTTGTCCGTCTTTTCGTTCACATTCAATAGCTTTCGGACAAAGGTCTCCGATATCCAGCACGAGCTCCGGATGGCGATGTCGCATTTTGACCCACAAGTCTCTTGGCACGAGGTTTGCTGGAGAGCTCCATGAGCTAGGTTGATCTGGTGCCGCCAGTTCTGACACTATAATTTTGCCAGATGTTCAGTGCCCGGAGTATGAGCAGGTGGTCCCGCCAGAGCTCGCAAGTCGCTTTCTGGATAGGCTGTGGTGGCGCCGCCAACTACGAATCTCGCATGCAAAGCAGCATTAATATGTGATTGTAAACATGTAGCAGAGGAGGCGGGGCGTTTCAGCAAGAAGCGCTTGTTTTTCAGGTCCTCAGAGACCGAATGAAATGAGCACTCTGAGGAGCCTGGGCCATTGAGCCATGCAGCCGGGGTTGTCTTCGAGCCGTTACCAGGTGCTGCCGAGGTGCGAGTGTAATTAGCTTTGTGACAATTGCACATCGGCTTTTCCTGGTCATGCCTGTCTTAAGCCTACCTGCGATTTCTGGGCTGTTCCATTCTGGCCATGAAAGCCGCAGTAGGCCTAGGTCAATTGGCAAATTATGGACATCAATGTCAGGAAATTGGGATGGATGGTGATCGCTCATTAGGTAATGGGCGTCGCGTCCGGGTAGTTCGAGGTGAGAATCAGGCGTCTCTTTTCAGATCCAAGGCAAAGTATGTATCATCCCACAGTCTCACTTGAACTTTGGAAACCACGACGGTTTCAAGTCATTGGAGACAGATCTCCCATGCTGCAGCCATTATGAAAGGTCACAGAAGATCTGACCTTCACCGCCGAGTTGGCCTTTGAACTCGAGTCTGCGTGTCTTGGCATGCACATCGTGGAATGCTCCATCCAACAAGTGACTCCAGACAGCCTAAACGACCTGACAGGACTTTGCCCGAGGGCTTGGATGTCGCTCACTCCGTGTTCTACACGGCCTACCAGGACCCGGCACGGTAACGTAACGGGCCAGAAGCAGTATCTGCATATCACGAATTTCAGGACATAGACATAGCATTCCTCGTTTGGGGTCTGTGCAGGACATTGATGGACAACAGCTCTCCGATGCCGGGTCGCAGGGCTTCGGCGGACGGAATTTGGAGCTCACGTGCCCATGGTTCAAGACATGACCTGTCTGAAGGTGCTGTTTTTGGATGGGATTGCTGTGAAATGTAAAGGAGATTGTGGCGGTTTTGGTGATCGTAGGACTAGCAGCTGCCCACAGGCTGATGTAAGTAGAGCCAACAGTCTGTGCCACTTCATGGTGGCCCTGTGTGTTGTTCGAGAGTCGGGAGGGGCTAAACATCACCTGAACATCACCTTGCATGGAGATAGCGCGACAACAAGTACCAGCTGGAGTTCTTTTGCCCAGGTATGCAGAAGTGGAGTTTGCCCCTTTCTGCGCCCTTCTGCAGAGAGTTGCCCAACCTCAGCCAGGACGGAGTCTCCATGCGAGCCGTCAGCTTTTTGATTCGGCTTCAGTCTCAGCAAAGCCGAACAGTCAGCATTCGGATGTGTTCAGCCCTCTTACGAATCTTGCAAACACACTGCGTAGCTACTGTTACGAGCCTTATAGGCTTACAGAATCTTATAAAGCCCTCAACAGCCAAAATCCTAAACCTATAAACCCTGCAACCCTAAGCCCGAAACCTTAAAGCCATAAGCCTCATCAGCCATGCCAGCCTTGTGCGAGTGTGTGAGTCGAAAGCCATAAGCCGATCAGGAGAGACCTTCCTCGATCTGGGGAGCGGCACTGGTCGAGCCGTGCTGGTCGCAGCCCTGGGTTTCCCGAGCCTCCGCTGTTGCCGAGGTTGGAGGGGGGGGGGGAGGGGGGATTGTTTTTTTTTTTTT